TCCCTTTGCCATCATCCTGGGCATTCCTCTCACTTCCCTTCTGGGTCACAGCCTCTGTTTTTTGCACCCATGTCACCTTCTTTTTGGGTTTACTCCTTTGTTCTGATGGAGCACATCTTCCAGTAGCTTCCAGAGAGAGGGTATACGGGAGGTGTATTAGTTTCCCAGGGCTGCTGTAACAAATTACCACAAACTAGGTGCTTGAAACAACAGAAATTTATTCTCTCATTTCTGGAGACTATAAGTCTGAAATCAAGGAGTCAGCAGGGCTGTGTTTCCTCTGATACCCTGTGTAAAATCCTTCCTTGTCTCCTGCTAGCTTTTGGTGGTGGCTGGCAATGCTTGGTGGTCCTTGGCTTGTAACTACATCACTCCAGTCTCTCCCTCTGTTGACACATGGTATCTTCCTTGTGTGTGTCTGTGTCCAAATTTCTCTCCATACTCCAGTATGACCTCATCTTAACTAATTACATCTGCAATGACCCCGTTCCCGAATGAGGTCACATTCTTAGATATTGGGGGTTAGGACTTCAATGTAGTTTGAGGAGGGACATAATTCAGCCCATAACAGGATGTAAATATTTTAGGCCCTAAATGTTTAAAATGTCTTCATTCTAGATGATTTGGCTGAGTCAAGAATTTTAGGCTGAAAATAATTTTTCCTTGGGATTTTGAAGGCATCCAAAAATCCACTGTTATTTTGAATTAGGTGAGAGGTCTGATGTTATTTCTGATCCATCGTCCTCTGCATGTGACCCTTTTCTCACTGTCTTAGAAGTCTTTATTCCTGGTACCCTTAAATCTCATTATGATGTGCCTTGGTGTGGATCTGTTTTCATCCATTGGATGGGACCCTTAGCACAGGCCCTTTCAGTTTGGAAACACTTCATCTGGGTCTGGGTAATTTTCTTGTACAGTTTTTTTTAGTAATTTTCTTCCTCTGTATTCTGGAATTCCTTTTGGTCAGATTTTGGTCCTCAAAAACGGAGTCTCTAATTTTCGTTCTTTTTGCTCTTTTGTTCCCTTTTTTCTGTCCTTTTGATCTTTTTGAGGGCTGATTTCCTCAACTTAATCTGCCAGCCCTTCTTCTGACATTTTTATTTTGGCTGTCTTATATTTTCAGGAGTTCTTTTTTGTTCCTAAAAGTTCCTTTCTTATAGCATCCTGCTCCATGAATGCATTGTGTTCTTTTACTTATCTGAGAGTATAAATTATAGAATTTTGGGAGGGCTTTGTCTTTTTCTTCTAAGTTTCTTTTTTCTTTTTGTTTCTGTATTTCCTGTTAGAGGCTCTCCCCAAATGCCAGGTAGGCATGCATTGGATATGTGCTTATGTTTGCGTCAGCTACTCAAAATTTTGGTTACCCTGTTTTAAAACAGGGTAGTGATGTTTTGAGTGTACTCGGAGTGTGCTTGAGGATTTAATTAAAATCAACAGTTTATTAACATTTGAGATCTAATATTCTGGAGCAGAATTCTAAAAGTTTGATCAAAAAAAGTTTTTCTCCCTGAATCCCTTTTATAAAACTTAGGCTAGCCAACCAGATGTTTTATAAGGCCTGAGTTTGCCAGGTCCCAGCTGGAATCTGTAAAGTGAGATAAGATCATTATTATCATGCGATAAACGTGAATGAAACAGAAAAAAAAAGAGTCAGCTACTTAAAAGTTGTTTGGAAAGGGGCTCTATGCATGTGTGGGGGCACTTGTTGACTGGGGGGCTTCCCTATCAAGTGATTTGGTGGGGAACTGGCTGTCCTCTGGGCCCCCAGGATTCGTATCTGTGGACGTTTTCTTTTCCTTCCTTCAATTCTTCTGTGGAACAATCTTCTCATTTCCTGTAGGTGGGGTAGCAACTGGACAGGGCACTGGGCTGCCCACTATTCAGCATCTCCCTTTCCTGTACCCTCACTGGGCCTGGTGTCCNGCACTGGGCTGCCCACTATTCAGCATCTCCCTTTCCTGTACCCTCACTGGGCCTGGTGTCCCTGCATCTGAACCTTTCTGCCTCAGTTTCCCCAGACAGTAAATCTCCCATCTCCGGCAGGCGTGGGTTGCCCTCCCTTTCGACTGACTCCCCCACTTGTCTTTCATTTCAGTCCTTCTAGAAGTCTTCCCAGTCACCGAATTCCCTCTATTTGCCTTCTCAGCCCTCAGCATTTCTACTTAGGTTCTCGCTATGTGTTTATTTGTTCAAGATCTGCCCTTCCCCTATCCCTCCGACCCCAGGCCACAAATTCCACAAAGTCATTGACTGTGCTTGCTTGTTCACCACCGGATCCCAAGTGTCTTGAGCGATACTTATTGAGTTAGTCCTTGAATGAACTGGATTATTCATTACAAAATATGAGAGGGGTTCTGTGACCTAATTTAGTTCATCATGGAGGGGCTAAAGGTTATGTTGAATGTCAGCTTTTTGATGGTGATGATGATGATGATAATAATGATGGTATTTACTCTTCCTCATGAACGCTTGCCCAGTGATGGGTACTGCTATACCCATTTCACAGATGATGGAAGCTCAGGCTCAAAGAGTTTCATACGGCTTGGAAGAGTATAGGCCATGCTCTATATCACCACACTCCAGGGCTCCCTTTCCAGCTTCTTCCAGCATTTATTTTTCTCCAACATTTTATGAGGAAAAAATTTCAAACATACAGAAAAGTTGAAATAATGGTACAGTGAACAGCAGCATACTCTGGACCTAGATTCTACCATTAACATTTTACTCCACTTGCCTTATCACTTATCTGTCCCCCTGTCCATCCATCTTACTTTCTGGTGCAGTTCAGAGTAAGTTGTAGACATTGGTACATTTCACCCCTAAGCATTTCAGCATGTGTTTCATTAGCTAGAGTGAAATGCACAGATCTCCAGGGTACTGTTGGATGAGTTTTGTTTTTTTTAAATAGATGACCGGTAAGAGGATCTTAACCCTCGACTTGGTGTTGTCAGCACCACGCTCTCCCAAGTGAGCTAA